CTGGGTTTAACAAAAACATTTTTTTTAACAAAAAGTAAATTATTAATTTGCTTTGGTTTTAATTTTCTTACATTAGTAATACGTTTTTATATTTCCAGTAGGCTATAGGCTGTTTGAAATGTTGCTTTACGAGTGTTGCTATATGATAGAAAAACAGTAGGCTATAATCGTCTTTAGTTTATATATTTGTTGTGGCATTTCTTGGAATGTCGTCTAAATTTGACATTGCTGAGATTCGTGTGGAAAAGAGAAAACCGAACATTCCAGTAGCGAATAGTGGACATTCGAATAGCGTTCTAATTTAGCGGGATTATTTTAAATTATTAATCGCATTTTCCCTGTGTTCTACATGTACTGAAACTTATTTAACAAACGTTTTCATGTAAATTCTTCTCTTTTTACTGGCAAATTATTCGTTTAGATATTATATATGTTTAATAGTTTGTCACGTGCTTTTTAATAAATAAATACATAAATAAATAATTAAACAAGTGAAGCCGTGTTCATAACATCAAGAAATATAACTATTCTATTATACTAGGCTAATATGCCGTTTCAGTGTTCTAATTTATGGCAATTTATTTCTTCTAGCGTTTTCATGATGCAGTTTTTGGATTTGTGGACAGCATTCATCCCCTGTAAGGATTTTTACCTGACTTGAGAAAACCTTGCTTACATGACATCATACTGAAAGGAGAACTGGATACCCAGCTTCCCAAGTCCACCAGCACCCCTCTGTGGCCTGTGGTGGGTTGCACATTGGATATAAAAGTACCAAGCCAGTGCGAACCATGGATGACCTAATCGCCAGACACTACAACTTCACTGGGAAATTTCGTAATGTCGACAAGGACCCGGGACTCAAAGCGGACTCTGTCGTGTTCATCATCGTGTGCTGCTTCATCATCCTGGAAAATGTTCTGGTTCTCCTCACCATTTGGAGGACCAAGAAATTCCACAAGCCCATGTACTACTTCATCGGGAACTTGGCCTTGTCAGACTTACTGGCCGGGGTTGTGTACACGGCAAACATCTTGCTGTCGGGAGCCAACACGTATAAGTTGACCCCAACACAGTGGTTCTTCAGGGAAGGGAGTATGTTTGTGGCTCTGGCCGCTTCAGTGTTTAGTCTCTTGGCCATTGCTATCGAGAGACACCTGACCATGCTCAAGATGAAGCTCCACAACAATGGCAAAACGTGCCGGGTCTTCATGCTGATCAGCACCGTCTGGTTCATCGCCGCCATCTTGGGTGGCTTACCCATCATGGGATGGAACTGCATCGACAGCATGAACAACTGCTCCACAGTTTTGCCTCTCTACCACAAGACCTACATCCTCTTCTGCACCACCGTATTCAGCGTCATCCTCATGGCCATCGTCATCCTGTACGCCCGCATCTACGCCCTGGTCCGCACGCGGAGCCGCAAGCTGGTCTTCCGCAAGGTCTCCAACGGCCGCGGCAGCAACAAGAGTTCGGAGAAGTCCATGGCCCTGCTGAAGACGGTCATCATCGTGTTGAGCTGCTTCATAGCGTGTTGGGCGCCGCTCTTCATCCTGCTCTTGCTCGACGTGGCCTGCCAGATCCGCTCTTGCCCCATCCTCTACAAGGCCGAGTGGTTCCTGGCTCTGGCCGTGCTCAACTCCGCCATGAACCCTCTGATCTACACCCTGACCAGCAATGAGATGCGCCGGGCCTTCATCAAGATGCTCAACTGCGCCGTCTGCTGCCAACCAGCGGGCAAGTTCTCCAGACCCATCATGGGCGCCGAGTTTAGCAGGAGCAAGTCGGACAACTCCTCCCACCCCAATAAGGACGAGCCCGAATACTCGCCCAGGGAAACCATAGTGTCTTCTGGGAATATCACCTCTTCTTCTTAAAGGGACTATCTTCTTCATTTCCGTCTCAATCCGTAGCAAGTGCTTGTCTGAATGAGTGTGTTTGTTCGGTCTTCTGCGTTCTCGTCGAACGGTAGCGGAGTGCTGGGAGAAACCAGGATTTTTTGGAAGCCCCAGCTTGCGCTTACATTTAAGTCTTCTGCTATTCCTGACAGACCGCCTGTTGAAACTTTTCCGCAACTTAGGAAAGCACTTAACCAACTGTTATTCATTGTGTTGTTGTTTTTTATCCCAGTCAAATGGATTCCTGTAGACAAGCACTTTTCGGGGAATTGCTCCTTGAGAACAACATAGGCATTACTGACTCGGTCTAAAATGGATTGATGTGAAACATACTAGCTTGTTATGGTTGTTTGTACTACATTTTTTAAATTAAATTGAAGAAATGCGGTCGAGAGGTACTTGTGTTTCTTTGAGTTAACACTATGGTATTAGGATGTTATTTCGCCCCTGATCCAGAATGTATTTTGTAAATGTATTTGTTTTTTCTTCACCTTTCAACAAATAAACTGTTGTTGTAGAAGAGTGTGCATGTACATTAGCTGTCAATATTAATTTATCTTGAAACAGTTCCAATAAATTTGAAACTTGGAGGGATGGAACTAAGTGTTGTGTTTATTAATTGTAAATATATTTTATTATTTTACTTTGATAGTATGCCATGTATTATAGCTTGTGCACATTGATCTGCTCTGCTCTGCCACCCAGTTTTGTCTTTGCTGGGTTGCATGGCTCAACTCTAATGAAATTAATTTGATGGAATGGAAGGATCCGGAGAATTTAAGATGACATTTTCTGATGGCATGTCACAATAAAACAGAATCCCAGCTGGTTTATTAATGTACAGGCTTCTATTTATCCATATGTTCCTCATACATACAATCAAATCATGAGCCAGTTTTATCCTCTGTTCACTGTTGCACATTGTAACATCTAGCCTGTGGTTTTGTTCTGTTAGTTGTTAATAAACATTGTCGATGAAAAAGAAATCAAAGGTGTGATTTATATTTTATGTATTTAATGTTTTGTTTAGTATTTAGAATTCCAAAAGTTTGAGACCATGCAGAATCAAATTTATGGAAATAAAGTAAAAAAAACAAAAAAAAAACGTATTGGACAAAAAGGTCAGATAATCTTCTATTGAAGCTTAAAATGCTCTTTGCATCATTCTCAAATAATTCTGGAGAACATTATCATCAGGTTTGAGACAAAACCATCAGCTGCTACTGTCCTTAAAGGGATAGTTCACCCAAAAATGAACATTCTATAATCATTTACTCACCCTCAAGTTGTTTATTTCTTCTGTTGAACACAAAAGAAGATATTTTGAAGAATGTAACCAAACAGTTAATGGATCCCATTGATTTCCATAGTATGGAAAAAGAAAATACTATGGAAGTCAATGGGGACCAAAAACAGTTTTGTTTACCGAGATTCTTCAAAATATCTTCTTTTGTGTTCAACAGAAGAAAGAAACTCATGCAGGTTTAAAACAACTTGAGGGTGAGAAAATAATTACATTTTGGGTGAACTATCCTTTTAAGGCAGATATACCGAATACCGGGACATGCTGTTTTTTACATGAACTATTTAAAGTTAAACTCTATTTGTTGAATCAATCTATCTATCTATCTATCTATCTATCTATCTATCTATCTATCTATCTATCTATCTATCTATCTATCTATCTATCTATCTATCTATCTATCTATCTATCTATCTATCTATCAATAAATTATCTATCTATCTATCTATCTATCTATCTATCTATCTATCTATCTATCTATCTATCTATCTATCTATCTATCTATCTATCTATCTATCTAACTATCTATCTATCTATCTATCTATCTATCTATCTATCTATCTATCTATCTATCTATCTATCTATCTATCTATCTATCTATCTATCGCATTTAGAAAATAAGCATTTTTACAAGTGGTAATAGACTTTTGGACCCCATTGTAGCTGTAACTGAATTTTAATTAAACAATAATGATTAAAGAGATACACTTAAATTATATGACAATTTAATAACTCATAAAGAGCACAAAATTAAAAAATAATAAAAATAAATGTAAATTTAACTGATTCAGTGGCAAAGATTTTCACATTTATGAGCAAATAGCCCCACCTACTGTATACCTGCTGAAATAGCTTATTCATAACGTCATAACTTTTAACACTGTAACACAAGATTTTCACAAATAATAATAATAATAATTCATTCGAAAAGCTTAAATGCTTATCATGTATACACATTTACACTGAAAAAAACAAATTTGCATTAAAAAATATGGACTATTTTAATCTAAAATCTTGATGTTGATAAAAAAGACGCATGTTATGAATAAACTACCCTTTTAGTTGTTGTTGTTTTTTTAACCTAAAACGCATTTTCCCCTCAATGTTATCGTTATAGCATACTTATAAGGCTAATATTATTCTAATAATAATGCAAATTAAAATGAAATTTCATTACTGATGAAGAAAATGTGAAAGAAACTCTTCAAATTTATAAAATAGAATGTAGAAATTAGTTAAATGGATGGAAACAAAGATGTTGATAACACAATGATGAAAACATTTCTACTGTGAACCAAAGCATTACTATGAAAATAAACACTATAATTCAATAGCCTATTGCAATAATTTGAATTTGATTGTGAACACAATGCAAATAGTGGATGGCAAGGTATGAATAATGGATGAATTACCTAAATAGTTTATTTTAGTAGACATGACTAAAAAAATGTTTTTCATGGGTTCAGTTTGATTGATGTCATGGAATAGGCCTGCATTGTCCTAGGGTTTCTTTTACATATGCGTAATTTATCCATCAAATGCAAAATATTAATGTTTATAACAGCATACAGTATTTCAGTAAGTAAATGTCTCTTAATTTATATCTTTATACTCCCACTCACACATACAATAGAGGAGGAAACTGTCACCAAAAAATGCAACCAAACTCTTTACTCACTTTCACGGCGATGGTAAAGCAAAGCATCATGGGAGCATAAGTCATTTTCGCCGAGTTTCCCCATTGCTAGTTGCTATGCCTGCGAAGTGACAGAACTACATTTCCCATAATGCCGTTTTCTGTACATTGGCTCATGTTATACATGGGGGAATAAGAGAGCGGCGGAGGAACCGAAAGCGACAGCAGAATCCCTGGCGATAAGTATAGCGATTAATAGCGATCGTGAAATGGGGGGAATTCAATGCCAAATCACTCAAAACAGGGTGTCGTAAAAGGAAACTCGCATTTTGGCATTGTATTTTTTAAATATAAATTTGGCGTGGACCTGGGTAAGGCACCTCCCTGTCTTCTCTGCGCCGGGGTGTGTGCGTGTTTTTCGGGTAGGCTTCATCGCATCACCGCGCTGCAGTGTGTTACTGGAACCGAACTGAGGTGCCACGCCGCCGGTTACAGCTGCCCTGCGCCGTCGCCCGATACTATGTCAAAAACAGAGAGAGACAAAGTAACACTGCGAATCAAACCTACTGACCTATGCAATGAAAAAATGGCAACTTTGCTCTCTAACAGCTGTGGTTTGTAGCCATAAAGAAGTGCAACTGTGCCGAAAAATATAGTGGAGCGATTTTTGTGCCTGGTAATAAAAAGGTGAGGTAAAGAAATTGCATCTCACTGCAAATGTAACTTTCTTAAAAAAAAAAAAAAGGGGGGCCACTTTACATTACAATGTTACAGTCAGTGCTACGGTTTAATTGCATAGCTACGGAATATTATTAATGGAATATGTATGTATGGTGTTTGTGAAACTGCTTGTAATTGCACAAGCTTGTAATTGAACAGGTTGTTGTCATTGCTACTGTTAACCCATAAATTTAGTTATCCATCATTCAGCATTGTAATACAAGTTTTTCAACATGTTACATTGTAATGTAAAGTGTTACAAAAATATATTGTCAATTGCTGAAGGTGAAAGGTAAAATTTTTGTCCATATTCATGTCCATTGACCGAGAGCTCCCTGCAAAGTGGACTACACAGGTTCACTTATAGTGGAATTTTGTATTTGCACTGCATATGGCTTAGGTAACAAATGTACAGTTATATGACTTTACAGGAAGTAGGGAGGGGAAATGTACCCACAAGTCATGTTGTACCACATCGAGAATGTGTCTGGAGTATGTGTGCTTTGCTACAGTTCTGAATGAAAATGCCAGTTACATTTGTTTAAGCCAAACATATTCTGTGTCCAAAATCCCATACTATCAGAGTGTGTACTATTGACCAACATTCTTGTTACCTGTAGCTCTTACATGTGGAAAGAGCCACCCGTCTAACTATTTTTATTTGTCAGCTTTTTGACAGCTCCTCAGTTTCATAAGACTTATGGGACAGGAAGGTGGCCCGTGGCTGCACACCTTAGTACTAACCAACTACAGATGTAATCTGTCTACTACCCAAAATTTTCACCTACTGTTTCATGAATACCGCATATTCGGACACAATGCTCATTTGACATACTGCTTTTTGCATATTATTTAATTAAAAAGATGTGCTGTTTGTATGGTAATGCATATTTATTTATATAAGTTGACCATTGGTCGGCTGAACAGAGTCTCGCCCTAACTCGCACCACAGAGAGACAGTGTTCATACTTTTTGTGGGAATCAACCTTCGAATGGTTAACTTAATAGTTTTCTCTGTATATAAATTTGGGATAGGAGAAAGTACTTTCATACACATCACCTTTAACATTGTTTGCTAATGATGCCGATTAATTTTGGGATGTTGTAATGGATTTTATTGCTGACATGCTCAAAAAGTCCAACTGTGTCTTGTCCAGTATCCTAAACGTTTCTTGTTTTTTTGTCAGCAGCTTTGAAAAGCAACGCAATAGGCAGCCCGCATGGAACGAGCAGGAAGCATTCAACTTGATATTCCAGACTTCAGCAACTCCGTCCTGTCGCACCTGAACCAGTTGCGAATACAGGGCCGTCTGTGTGACATTGTGGTCAATGTTCAGGGCCACAGTTTTCGTGCCCACAAGGTGGTCCTCGCTGCCAGCTCCCCTTACTTTAGGGACCACATGTCGCTGAGCGAGATGAGCACCGTGTCCATATCAGTGATCCGCAACCCAACCGTGTTTGAACAGCTCCTTTCCTTTTGCTACACGGGACGCTTGTGCTTGCAGCTTGCCGATATCATCAGCTACCTGACTGCTGCCAGCTTCCTCCAAATGCAGCACATTATTGACCGCTGCACACAGATTTTAGAGGGAATTCACTTTAAAATCAGTCTATCGGATGTGGAGGAGGAGCTCGGAAATGGGGCCCATAGGACCACTAATCAAACCATTGAGTCAGGAAGAGTTGGGACAGCGCTAGGTGGGTCCCGCTCCCTAAGTCCAAGACATACCAACTCCCGATTGATCAACACTGGGGTGATCAACATCCGTGATGTGAGGGAAGTCCGAGAGATCAGTCCCCCTGGGGAGTCCATGAGCCCCCAGATAGTGGAGCACAGCGGCATTAGCTCGGAGGAGGTGGGATCTGTGAAAGAGCCCATTCTCCGTATTAACCGAGCCGGGCAATGGTATGTCGAGACAGGGACTGAGATGGAGAGAGGTGGAGAGGAGAATGTGCGGATGGTGGATGGGTTTCGAATTAAGACAGAAAGGATGGAGGAGTGGATGGGGGCAGAGACTCAGGCATCGGCAGAAGAGGGCAGTGGGGCCGAGGAGGGGCCGACAGTGATGATTGACACCTCAGGACGAAGCACACTGATGCAGGAAGGAGGAAGAGGCGGGAAAGGTTCTCAGCCGTCCAGTAGCTTCAGTGAAACAGAGAGGTGTGTAAAATCTTTTGGAAGTTCACTTTCACTGTCAAAAGGAATTAAAAATGTACCCTTTTTAAATTTGTATATACATTCCTTGTCTTATTGCACATAATTCATCAGTTCATGTTATTCCAAAGAAATTATTTCTTTATTTTCCTTTATCAAAATGCAATACCTCTTCTATCTCTTTTGACTTGTCACCAAGCCATCTTACTTCTCAGCCCCTCACCTTCAAACATTTTTCATGATCCAGACAATTCTAGGTGGATAAAATCTAATAAGTCACAGTCTACATTTTGTTTTTGTATTGTATAAGTATCCCATTCCACTCTGAAATATGGCATATTGGATGGAGTTACAAAAATTTTCATGTTGGTTTTCCAGGTGTGATGCTTTAAAATGTGTTACATTTTAGTCTGTCAACATGTGTACTGTAAAAGATTTAACCCGTTATGGGGTTTTCTTTCAGGTTTAGTCCAACAGGAAGTGTGGTGGTAATGGCTGATCGCCAGAGAGCCAAGAGTGAGTCCCCAGGAAGAGTCGACGATCAGAGACTCCCCACCTCACAGGTTGGGCATCCTAAATGTAGAAGAATTGATCAAGACTCGACCTTTACACTTACTTAGTTTCAAATTAATATCAGTGAAGCACACCTTATTAAGCAAATAAGAAACTATAGATTGGTTACATTGCTCAGAACAGGTGGTGTGCCTAAGTTAGCAACATTTTTAAAGTGCAATTCAATTTGATTTCAATGTGGAAATTGGGTGGGGATCATAAAAACAAACTATGACCTCTCACCTTTCCCTTACAGGGAGAGGAGCAAGCTGTGTTTGACATGGGGGGATACGAGGAGTACCTACGAGAACAGGTAGGTGACCGGTGGTTCCGCTACAACCCCCGTCTCACCTGCATTTACTGCTGCAAGTCCTTCAACCAGAAGGGCAGCCTAGATCGTCACATGCGCCTACACATGGGCATTACCCCCTTCGTCTGTCGAATCTGCGGGAAGAAGTACACCCGCAAAGACCAACTCGAGTACCACATCCGTAAGCACACAGGAAACAAGCCCTTTCATTGCCACGTCTGCGGCAAGAGCTTCCCGTTCCAGGCTATTCTCAACCAACACTTCCGCAAGAACCATCCAGGCTGCGCTCCACAGGAGGTGTCCCACAGTGCCTCGCCTGAGACCACCACGGTCACTCCCCGTGGAGGCCAGAACGAAGATGAGTCGCCCTCCCAGGAGGAAGCCGAAGGCAATGGTGGAGGGGGAGGCGCCGGCTCGTCCTTCGGAGAAGGGGTCCAACCTTCAGTATCCACTACTGGGCCCGACTGAAACCCTTCAAAGGAAAACATTGCAAGTTTAGGGAGACACAGGACCTTTTCTCGAGAGATCCCTCTGTCCCTTGTCTCCCACCATCCACACTGAAATTGCAAGTTGGAAGGAGTTGAGCGAGCAGGAGGTTCTCTCAGCTGCTGTCAACAAGGAACGGATAAAAAGGGAGAGTCTTCTGCGTCCTACTTGGACAAAGATCCTCTATTTTTTTTCATGATAACAAAGATGCAAGGAACAGTTTGCTAGGAATAGTATACTCTAGGGATTTATAAATGGTATTTCCGCTTTAAACCGCATCTACCTTCACCATACAAACTGAACAGAACGTGAATATATGAAGACAAGCCACACTCCAACAACCTCACACACCACTGGATGCAGTGATTTTTGTTTTCTTTCGTTTTGTTTTTAGTCTTTCCTGTCTTTTATATGTTACTTCTTTTATATTTTTGTACTACTACAAATCTTTCAGGATAAACAAAAAGAGAAGCTCTAGCCACGATTTGGTCAAATTGCGTTGAAATTGCCAAACTTCTCTGTGCCAGAAGATGAGTTTTAAAATGAGAGGACATCGTAGTCCTTTGCTACTTTGCCTTGAGACAATCTTGATCAAATTTATCTGGGGCTAGACATTGCGCTCCCCAGCCATGGCAAGCTTAGGAAAACGGGTTCAGTTTTTTATTGGGGACCCTCAGGTCTGACCTAACATCAGATTCTTGATTTATTTTTTCGTTTTGTGTTAAGTGCCGATCCGGCCTGCCATAAAACCGAAACACAATTCTCACACTCAACGTAAGGAAATTGTTGCAAGTAGTTGTAGAACTTTGGGTTTATAACAAGAAACACTCAGATCATATTATTTTACTGTTTAATGTTGGTGGTAATACTGTGATATAGGCACGCTGTTGAAAAGATGATGGTAGAGGATAGCAGTTACATACTTTATTTATTCACATTTAATTCCTGTTAAGGCCTTCATACATCTCCAAGCTCAACAACTCAGCTGCTGAATGTTGACGATACAGTGATATAAAACACAAGAAATTCTTCAACCTCAGATAAGCTACAATAGACCGCTCAGTTACCTCTCTCTCACATCACTACGCAATACCGATCTGTCGCACGCAGATGCGTGGATGCACTCGGCCGAATTTTATGTTCAGTGTTTTTTTCTTTTCATACTTTTTAACTCCTTAGAAGTCGCCCATTGAGATTCGCAAGTCTCACCAACTTGTTTTACTGGTCTGGTGATATTTTGTTTGAGCAGGGGGAAGGGGTCTCTCAGAGGGCGTAACCTTCTTCCTTTTTTATGTCAAGAATTGCAGGCTGTGTTGTCGATGCCGTTTAGGAAAACGGAAACCGTATGTCTGTGATGACTGGGAAACGTTGAAATGCCACGGAATGACTTTGAGTGTAAGATTTCCCTTCATCTGATGGAAGGCACTTTAACCTTGGGGTCAAGTGCATTTACACTTAGCTTATGAACAGATGTTTCCAGCTGGTGCTATGACGTGAATTTACTGAAGCTTTCAGTAACCAAAGGAACTGAAATTTATTATGGAAGTTCTAAACCCTTAAGATTTGGAGGGCGAGAAAAAAGAGATTACATCAGGCACTTAAAGAAGGGGTGGGGGTGTTTTTTGTTTTGTTTTTAGAATATTTGTATATCTATATACATGTCACTTATGCATATTTAGACAAATTTATACTTGTAATAACTATACGGAGGCAGTTTCTAGAACGATCAACAAAAGCAAAGGTGTTTTAAGCGAAAGTAAAGCTCTTATCATTTTTATAAGGCTGTGAATCACACTTGGTTGTGACTGATTTTTTAGGAAAGGTTTGATGCATATTATAAAAATCAGCTACTGATGTTTCCAATAGGGATTTTGTGCACCTCATTCGTATCAACATTTACTTTTACCCTTACTCACATCTGTGAACACAGGTCAGCAGGTAAACACTTACAAAAATCAGGAACTCACTGTTTACTTTTTGGGTTTACCTTTTTGGGTTGTACCAAGCTGATTTTCTTACTTGGAATTCTAGCTCTGGGTAACATGGGTCAGCAAATTTCACAAGTGCAGCAAAAAAAAACAAGAAAAACAAAACAAAAAAACATGCGTATGAACATTTCCTCTCAGTGTAAATACCCATGCTTCAGAAGCAGTGGCAGTGAATTACAATCCTGAAACTGTATAATTTGACGTTTGTTGTACAGTACAGAACCCAGGAAAAGAGCATGTTGATATTGCTTTTATTTGTCACAATGCAACCTCATGATAATAGAAAAGGGCAAATGATTTTGTCTATAAACAACGTAATCATAACCTAATATGTTACAATATATCAAGAAAATAGGTTCTTTTTTATGGCCTTTAAGTTTAAATTTAAATTTGGGGCATGGGCCTGTTTTGTGTATGCCAATCATATAAGGGTGATAGTGTTTTAAATTATCTCTATGTGAATGAATTAATTGCAATTTAATAAGGGATCTATATCTGTAATCAGTCATTCCAATTATTGTACTGCACATTTTAGCAGTCTAAATTTAATCATATTAATTTGAGTTTTAGGGCTAATGATAACTTTCAGCATGTTTTCCCTTTGTTGACCTTCAAAACATTGATGGTTGACCAACCTGCCTGTTTGTCTTTAATTTTAAACAATATTATTCATTCAAATATTATGTGTTTGGCTTCTGTATTTGTTTTTCAAGCTTTAAATAACATGACAGAGGATAGATGTGTTGCTACAGTGTATATAGGCTGTAATATTTAATGTTTCTGTATGACAATACACCTACTGCAGTTTATTGGCATTGACTGAACAAGTCATGCGTAACCAAATTATGTCTAATCCTAACACAGTGTTACTGAATGTGTGGAACTACATTCGAAGCAATATTTCACCCCATTTCCAAAATTGCCAAGTTGCTTTCAGATAAAGTGGTGAATTAAAACACACCATAACAATCACAACATCTTATAAAACGTTGTGCAAATGTTGACCAATTGATTTCGACTAGAAAAAAATCATGTGTCCTGAATTTGTAAAGCAATTATGCATATTGGCAAATGTGATCAAATTTGTTTCAGCGATTACATTTACCTCACAGTTTTTGTTAGTTTGGTTTTTAATGGTCTGGCTTGTGAAAAGTGATACAGTGCATGTCTCTACTTAGTTTTTTGGGAAGACCGAATGACAACACTGAGCCATATTTACAGAGTTTGTTCAGTCTTGTCGCAAGTCCCTCTGGAGCAAATATTTTGTACATGCAGCACATTTCAGACATGGACACTTCAATGCAAATAGCCTACGTATATATTTCAACACTTAGTCTGTCTGAATAAGCAAGCAAATGTGATGCATTGTCAAAAAAGTTGTCAGTTGTTTTCTTACCTCAAAAGAGTCTTTGTACGAGGAAATGAGACATTGTTTTTCAGTAGAATTTGTTTATTTGCATGTTGTCTGTCTTTTGTAATGGCCAAACATATAGACATTTCCAGGCATCTAAATTTGCACCAAGAGAAGCCAAAATATTGACATTTAAGATTTGTCTTGCTATATTGTTTTATCTTGCAAAAAGCAATATAGTCTTTCCATGTGTCTTATATGTTAATCACTTTAATTTAAATCATACTTCAGAAAATATTTTATTTTACATAACCATGAAATAAAACAAAATATAATAGGTATTTTATTCTTGAAAAAAGTCAACTTCCAAAACATGAGCATTATCATCTTAGAAGTCAATTTCTCTGATTTTATTAGCAAACCAATATATTTATTGAAATAGGAAATATGTTTAAAAATCTAGAAATTATATTCATATTCGATTAAGGTATAATTGCTTGTTTGAAATTAATCAGAGTTAAATGATTAGTTAAAATTTTAGACTTTTCGCATTTAAAAAGGTACAGGAATCAAAAAGATGTATCATTATTAATGTGAATGCCATTTTCACAATAACCACTATGTTTTTTTCTTCACTGACAGTGTGTCAAGTCCATTCTTCTAAATAGAAATAAAGCACTTTAAGTGTAACTGTGAAGGATTTTCGATTATGTTCTTTAAATGTATAATTATGTAAGCCCAGATTGTGTGATACTGCTAAACCCAAATTTCTAATATGAAAAAATAAACCTGTTTTATCCTTGTTCTGTGCCTGTACATAGTGTTTTTATTTATTTATTTATTTTTCAAACCCTATTTGCATCTTCTTGCTCCTCAATGTGTTTGATTCCAGTACTTGCTTGGTGGACTGACAAAAACAACATAGTTACAAATGTAATGCTCATTATTAAGCAATAAGGCAAGAAACAAGGCAGCCTTGTCAAGTTAAAAATTAGCCACAAGGATGATCAATAACCGTCCTCAGCCTTTCCTGTCAAATCCATATCCAATCCATATTAGCTGCTCCCACAAGGATTTGCGACTCGGCCGGTGAAGATCAAGGCGTTGATACTGGACTCACGGATCAGCAGAAGGAAGGGCTGGTCCGCAACAAAATAATCCCGGAAGATGTTTAAGGAACGTCCGGTAGCCACTACTGCTGTGGCGGCAGCCGCCTCACTACCTTCCTCATTCACCTGAAGAATGGGAAAATGAGGCCGTTGACTAAGAAACTGGGTAAACTTTCAAACTTTGCAAATCATAAAAAGACGGTACTTGATTTTACAAAAAATACTGAATGCGTCTTACCTCAAGGAAGGCCTTATGGTAGGCGTCAGAGATGTACAAGTTGGGCCCATCATCGGCAACCATCCCTAGTGCAACATGTCATGGGGAAATATTATTGTGCAGTCATCAACTCAATAGTTTGCCCTGATAATGACAATCCTGTCATTTTTCCAAACTCATATGATGTTTTTGTCTCCATGGAACACACTTCCATACAGCAAAAGTTCATAATAATCACACCAAGATCCCTAAAGAACCATACTGTACTCTAGTCTTATGAAGCTTTTAGGTTATACAGAAGAAAGATAGTCATACAAGTTTGGAATGACATGATGACAAAAGGTTCATTTTTGGGTGAACTATCCCTAAACAATAGCAACAAGTTTTCTTATCAACCTAATGACATACCTGGGAGACTGGCTTTTTCTGGACTAAAAAGATCTTCAAGGCCCATTTTTGTCAGCTGCTCTTTGAGGCTGAAGCTGTCCTCGATACGGAAACGAGGAACCTGCACTGAAACTGTGGTGTCTTTCATGGCATGTAACCAACCAACAAGTTTCTTGAGGGTCATATTTGCCACTACCTTAATTGGATGAAGTTTTGTTATGTAGGACTACAGAACAAAATCTTTAAGGAAAATATTTTGTTTATTGTTTATAATCGACTTACTTCCGACAGGGTTATACCATCAGTGGGTAATATGAGCACCATTGTGATCTCACCACCATTGTAGGGCAATTCAAGGATCTTCACCTTGTCATCAGTGATTTTTGCGTACTGGAATTTCCTCTCTTGGTACATCATGGAAACTGGACACTTGTATTTCTCGCTAACATGAAACTCTGACTTTATGACATTTAGCTTATCAAACTTGTGTTTCCATTGACCCTGGAACGCAAAAAACAAAACAAAAACCAGATTGTACAGAGTTCACAAGTCAAGGGGACCAATCCTGCTCCTGGAGGGGGACTTTCCTGCAGAGTTCAGCTCAACACACCTGCCTGGATGTTTGTAGTGAGCCTGAACACCTTGATTAGCTGGTTCAGGTGTGTTTAATTAGGGTTGGAGCTAAAGGTGCGTTCACGCTATGTTGTACTTACTGTACCGATTCTGAACTGTAAAAAGCCTTCTTGTGCTTGTAGAACTTGTAATTACAACGGGTAAACTCGTAATTTTCTGAGAGCTACGACTTGTACCATGTGGCCGCTCTACCACCTGACCATTGCAGATTTAAAGTGTGTTCGACTTGAAGCAGTGCTGTACAGACTGATCTGTGTATGGAGCTTTATTTACGGTTATTACGGCATGGCGTGAACGCAGCATAAACTCTGCTGGGAGATGGCCCTGCAGATGCAGGATTTGACACCAAAAATTGCATCTTAATAGGTACCTCTCTACATCCTCACTTACTTTGAAGTAAATCGCGTTGACTAAGACTAATATGGTGTTGGAGTCTATTGAACCTTCAGGCAGGGTGTCTTTTATTCGGTTCTCCGTCTTGTTGGCAATCCATTCATTTATCGCCAGCCTCGAAACATCTGGTTTCTCCTGGAGGGCAAAACTTGAATTATTAGTATAAGGTCAAGGATCAGATACCCTACATTAGGCACTTATGGAAACGTAACCTTGAAATTGAGAGGCATCAACTTGGCTCCGTAGACCATCTCGCTGATGTGCTGGAAGGACTCATTAAAAAGCGTAGATTTGTCTCCAAACAAACGGTTTGCAGAGATCAGTTCTGTCGTCTCATGCTTCTTGCGGTATAGTCGACAGTTCAACTTGGCGAAGAAGTAGTGAACCTGGTCTGACGTCTTTTCCTTTATCGAATCGAACCGAAACACCTACATGTTAAGGATAGAGAAGTTGTTGACCTGCTCAAGTGATCGATCTTTATTTGAAGTTACAATTTCTTGGCCTTACTTTCATGAGCTGCTCTAGTGTGGTGTTACAAGCCCCTAGCTTCGTCATGGCGAAAGCCGTTGATATACTAATCGGCGACAGAAAGATGTTTTCATCGCTGGACTTTCCCTCGGCAAGCTGCTTGAAAAACGAGAGGGCAAAGAGGCTGTTGGCTTTGGACAGTTCCCACACTCGAGGGTTGGTGCCAGGTGGGATCTTCTCGGGATCTTTGGTTGGTTGTACCTCAGGATCTGGGTTGCGGTAGATGCACATTGGCTCCAATAAGTCTTTGGGTTTTGCGGTGCAGATATCTTTGGTTGCCTGGGCCAAACAGAAGGCAAGTACCCACAAAGCCCACGTACATGCCAACAACTTCATTCTGCCTGAGGTGGAATGGGAACCCAGCCCAGGAAAAGTAGTTCAGTGCAAGTTCTGGTGGTCAGTCAAGTCATGGAATCATGTGATACAATATCTGTTGCGAATTCGGAAGAGATTTTTAAAAATGTATACTTTGTAGGTTTTCTCTTTACAACATGTTAAAATCAAATCTGCACTGACAGAGTTAATAGCTTGCGCATTAAAATCCACAATGGTTACAAAGAAAGGAACATTTGAAGTTTTAGCATAGCAGAGATAATTTCGTAAATTTTGTACTTTATTAATCATACATGGCTAGTTTCCCAATCACAAATTAAGGATCAATCAGACTTAAATTTTACTACAAATGGATGAATTACTAATAAAGATCCACTTTATACTTGGATCGTGTCTGAGGTAAGAAAAGTAAACGAATCACCCAAAAACTTTTACAACTGTTCCAACAAAACTGCTCTTTTTTTATCATGATATTCATTGCATTTATGAATCTTCCCACTTACCTGATGTTGTAGTTTTTTTTCCTTTTTAAAGACCAGTTTTGGGGCAATGAGGTACTAAAGTAAGCAGCCAAGTGAAGCAAAACACTGCTCTCTGGACAGGTCAGTGCCCTTAAGAGTAGCTACTGAGTGACTAAAGAGATGAATTTACTCAGGACAACCTTTGAGCTATTGATTGGTTTTGTTAGGTTAGTCACAAGCAAAGCAACTAGATTCATAATGTGGAACCCGTTCAAAACAACCATTGTTAAAAAGAACTATTTCAGTCCAAATGTGTACATCAAATGCCTTTTGAGGTCTAAGGTGAAACTATTTTGTTGGAGACCGTGGTAAAGGGTCTTTTGTTTAATGTTCAGCACCTAGTGGTTGTTGTGTAAAAGTACATGAATTTGTAAGAAACACCAGAGAGGAAAATGGTTTACAATATCATTTAATCATAATCCATGCCAGAATCACTGCTGCACATAAAATACATTTCTTATTAAATATTTTTTTTCCACGTTTTTTGATATCTAATTCAAAAATCCAGTTAGTAATACCCCCTGCCCTCTCAAAGAAAAGCAATTGTATTATACAAAAATGCAATGCAAAATTTCACACAGTGAATTCTTGTACAAAGAGAAAAAAAAAAAGGTTTTACAACTACATCCACATTGGAGAAATATTCTAAACATTCCTTACTGGAGTATAATATACAAACATTTATTTTCTTATTCAGGTTGAAGTTAAAGTGTACCTTAATTTAAGCAGACTATCATGAGATAACATGGGAGAAATCATCAAAAACAATTATATATCCCAATGTTAGGAATCATGGTATAAAGACCACAATGCAACACCCCATCTCACAAAAAATAGTCAATACATGAGTGCAAGCAATGAGTTTCAGTGGGAACAAACATACAGAAATGAGGTGGACAGCACTCTCTTTGGACACACCTGAACACAAACACGCAACCATTCATTTTAAAACTACTTTCTACAGCTATAAGCTAAAACACTAAAGCCTGTATTTGTGCACAACCCTTATGTTTTCAAGTAACATTATGACTTTTCATAAATCTACTACGTGTGTATGTGCACAACGCATACTTTCCCCTCGAGACCAGGGAACAATATGTACCATGAATCATTTTTCTGTGTGGGAAAACATACTACAATCTCTGGTGTTTCAGGCACTAAGTGTCAAAATTCCGATTTCACCCATTCCTACCTTCTCATTTTTACAACTTTCGACACTAATTAGTACTACATTCGTATTGAACCCTGAACACGGTCAACAATCACAATAAGAAAATGAGTTCCAGTGAAGAAACACTGAGGCTTTTTATTAGACACTGATCATAAATACAACTTTTTTTTTTTTAAGTCAGTATTGGGCGGATAAATCTCACAAATTAGTCATATTTCACCCCAAAATAACTTTTAAAATATTGCATTAAAAAAAAATGAAGCACATCTTTAGGACCATTTATCTTTAGACAACTAAGCCAATTTACCAAAAAATGTCATTACCGCAATGCAGAAAAAAAAAAATCTCATTACCGTAATACAGTAACAAACAACTCATGTTTCAAAATAAAACCAGTACAATTTAAACTGTAATACTATAATGATGCATCAATACTTTTAAATTTCTACAATACAAAGAATTTGTTATGAAAATAATATCCACAAAGCAAAACATAAAAGGTCGCAAAAATAGGATTCGTTTAATGTAATGAATATACACATAGGCCAACTTTACATTTGGGATGAAATATGACCGTTTTTTCCAAGTTTCATGAGATTCATCAAGTTAAACATTTTGGTTCCCTTTTCAAATCTATAGTGATTCCCATTGGCTCATCGGGTGATCATGTAAATGTTGCTTTGCAACAATAGTTTAAAACAGTTGGTTTTCAAATGGCTGACTTCAAATACATAATTTCAAAACCACAAGCAGTCCTTCTGCAAGAGTGTTTATACAATCCTTGTTTGGTTCAAGGAAACATTGGAATCAGTCTCAGTTTGGTACAAAGGAACTGTCGAGGATTGTATCAATGGCTTATATGAAAACAGTAAACCTTGATTTGTTTACCTGTATTATCAGACCTCCAATAATGTCTTTAAATATGAGCCTTGATACTCCCTCTCTGAATATCCATATCAAAACTATGACAAAATTTACAGACTGTCCTTGTTTTCCTCTTCAAAGAACCCTAACATCAAAAGACCACCATCACACCATGAAGCATGCTTAAATACTCAAGTTCACTTGCACGAAAGATACACAAAATGGCTACAACAACAAATGACCTGGCAATAAATTCCTTTATCTCAGAAAGGATAGGCAGTACTCAGTTTGGCGGTCTAAAAGCCTGCAGATTCGAAGAGATCATTTAATATAAATGCTGACTTAGACTGAGAAGAGTTGAATATTATAAATAAAGATGGTTCAGCTACATCTACACACCCAATATGTGAATAACTGCAGATCTGCATAAAGGCACAGTCCTGAAGTCTTCAAGTCTCGAAACAGACAATTGCAGTCCTGAAAACAAAAAGAGTGCGCAATGCGACAAAGACGTTTACACCCAGACACACTAAAAAACCGACCCTGAGATAAAGACAGGTGTTCCTTTAAAACAAAACAATAAAGGTGACGTTACCCAAGTGAACCTAGGACGCATTCTAGATCCTAAAAATTTCATTTGCCTTCACCTTTAACCAAACACCAATAATGTTCGTAATCCATTTGGCTTCAAACCAACAATAACAAAAAGCTTCTGCTTTTCGGTTTCTTTCGAACTCATTTTGGGTAAATTCGTGCTATCCTTAAAGTCTACACTGTGCATCACAGTTCTGTTACCTAAACGCAGAAATATCCAATCTTGACGATTGCTTAAAATGTCAAAAGCTCAGATCAAAGCCACAGTAATACCGTAATAACGTAAATAAAAACAATAGAAATCAACTCCAACTTAAGAGAAGTTCCACCAAAATAGGTGCTTTTAAGGTTGCGGTAGGATGTCTCAAGAGACTATTATATGCTAGCAGGAAAAAATAAAATAAACTCATTTCCAACTTAAAAGACTAATTCATAAGTGATGAGATCTCACCACCAAGGAAGTGATAAACATGGAAGAATGCAAGTTTGAGATTTACAGTGCAAGTGTTTTGATAACCCGACTGGCAGATTAGCTAACTGAAATATGACGACGTGTTGTGTCCTTTAACAAAACAAATTTAACAGTCATGGTTTTTTTTAGGCTCATCAGCAATTCATCATCATCTTGTGTCTTTGCTCATTGTTTTCCGCTAGTTTGATAATGCATTTTAGATTTTTCGCCCAAATCTGCACAGCTAATGTAAAAAACATCTGCAGATTCTACAAACTTTGACTTTTAGACCCAACATCAATATATAAGCCATAGGTGGTCACTCTTGATGTTTTTATGCGCCAAACGCCTTTCCTTTTCGTCGTGAGAAAAACACAGAACTGGCTGGTGGTGGGAGTGAAGTGACTACAAAATTCATTTTTGGTTGTTTCCAAATAATGTGAAATATGAAAATATTCTTGTTAATAGATTGGCTATCTTAGTCCAACTCTTTCTAGTTCAAACAGTCAGATCACATGGTGCAAACGAGCCCCATCAGTATTTGAATGACGTTGAGGAGGATTGTGATGTACACGGTTGAGCACAGCCTGTAGGGGAATTCGATCGAACCGGCCCATCAAACCAATGGTTTTTCAAACTTCAAAGACGAAACAGAGAATGAAGGAGAGTCTTGAGATGGCTACAGCTGGATCAAAGTCTTTCTTTTTGCTCTGAATATACACCACATCTTTCGAAGTGAAAAACACTGCATATACGAAAAATGTGGCTTGTTCTGAAGATCGTAATTTCACTGACAAAGTGAAGAGAAGTACATACGCATTCTTACAACAGAATGCATCTTTATGCAATACCGTAGCGGCTTTCTTTCCATCCTCAGGATGGAAAATGTATCTTTACCCACTATAAAAAAAACTAGACTGACCTGGATTGTTATTTCTATCCACAAAAAAGAGGCTGAATAATGCATCCCTGAGGACATTACAGCAGAAGATGATGATGATGATGATGATTACAGGCGGTTCAATCGAAATCCCACAGGCAGTGTAGTGTAATACACTGGAAACAATAAAAGGGCCATTTTAAGACTTTTGGGGCTTTTGGGTTTGTTGGCATGAGTGCAATCGAGGTCAATTCAGTTAACATTTGGGTTACGAGCATTTTTCTATAACACACAATAACGTGCATCATAACAATCACACTGTAAAAGCCTAAATGAAGCCTAATGTATAAAACATGATACATAATTTTGACCCTCAAAGATAAAACAAAATGTTTTCTGTTGGGTGAATATGCAGCAAGCCTGCGGTTATAGCAAGTTATGAGTTTGAACACTGTAAACTCAGAAGAAGACAGAAGTGTAAACACCACACCAAGCACAAACAAGAGCGTAACTACCGAAAACGTAGCACATTATGATAAAAACGCAATTTTGAAACCCAAGATAGTGGATTAATGATCATTAAGCAACATAAGCGAGATCATGTTATATGTTGCCTGACAAATACTTAAGACTGAGGATATTTTGGATTCACCCTGATTTACGAGGCAATGGAAAAAGGCTTGTCTCAGGAAAAAGGATACAAAAGAAGAAAATACTCAACAGCAGATACTGCTGTAAAAAAAAAGAACTAAATCAGGGCATGATTGTGCAAGTCTGTTGAGGCACATGCACAGTGAATCCCACCCAAACTCCACCCATATTTGCCTGACGGGTGTTGGAGGGTCAGCGGAGGAAGCTAACGTGAATGCGTGTCGTGTCGTGTGTTAGACAGCGATGCTGGAGAATCCTGCTCCAGAGGCTTTAACTTGGGACTGGAGCGCCGACTGGTTACTGAGCGCTCCGGTGGTTTGCAGAAGGAGAATCTGAGGTAGAAAGAGCCGGCTAGGAGTGGGCAACTCCGTTCTTGGGCAGATCAGGGCTGCTGGCCACCTGTTCAGAGGACAAACTGAGAGATGACGTCTTGCTGGTCAGTGAGGACATGCTGCTGCTGACGAGACCGCAGTCCTGGACCAAACCGATGGAGCCGTTTAAACCCTCACTACAACAAAAGAGAGGGAGGCAATGAGAACTACTGTGGTGGACAAAATAAACCACATATATGTATTTAAATTTCATTCAATGTAGTGGATGTAAAACATGTATTTCTGAAAGCAAATGATTGAGTCTCACAAAACCTGTCAGGATAAAGTTCCCCCCAAAAATAAAAAATAATATATATTTTTTTTTCCTTTAACAAATTTAAGTAAAATTCACTGTTATATTTCACCTAAGAGTTAGTGAATGCTCCTCTCGTTGCAAAGCATGTTCGTCTTGTCCGTTTTCGACTGAGACCCGCTTGTACTTGCCATCGTGGTTCTCCTGAAGGCAAAATAATTTAAGCTCAAGCACAGTGATGTAAATCACATGAACTCCCTGAACTTACAATACAGCCTCTACAATAACAAAAAAACCAACTACTTTTACAAATGACCTTGCTTAAAAATGGATTTTCTGCTCAAGACACGGCAGTGGCCTCATAAATTATTCAGAGGTAATAGAATATATTAATTATGAATAATTAATAGAAGCTCTATAAATTGCATGTCTCACTAACCATGGCCATCTCCTGTGTCCTCATGTCGATCTCTCTCTCCACCTGGTGCAGCTCGTGACTCAGCTGTTCACTGGACAAACTCCCAGAGGACCAGTCCGCTCGAGGCGGCTGGGACATCACTGAGCTTGGCTTCTGCCAAAGGAGAGGATGAGTCGCTGAATCATGATATTTTTACACACACACACAGTCCTGGTAAACCCTACGTTATGGGGACAAAACGTCCTCAAAGATAATTTGGTACCATTTAGTTGGATCCAACATGTTGTGAACAGGCCTTTAAAATGACACCCTGGTAAATTGACAATCTCACCTCCAGGCCACGGCTCTGTGTCTGTTGGCTGATTTGCTGGTTGACCTGCTGTAGCTCCATCCTCAGCTGCTCACGCGCCTGCACGGCAGGGGATCTGCAGGATGAGCGGAACATATTTTGCTCATTTAGGACATTACAGATTAAGACTTAACTGAAACCAAGCGATTGCTTGTAAAGAGCGAGGCAGGGCAACATACCGCTCGCTGAAGTGCCCCTGAGACGTTTGGTGCGGCTGGTAGGAGTCGCCGCTCCACCCGCTGTGGTTCGCATAGGTGTAGTCGGCTTCAAAGAAAAGACAAAGACCATTCAAAAAAACTAAATAATCGCGTTGTCCCGTTAGCAATGCTGATACAAAGCAGGAGGAGTTTACCGGTGTGTTTGGCAGAGTTAGGCAAGGGTGGCATCGCGCTGTTTGGCGGGTAGCCAGATTTAGACGTGCGTGAAATCGCGCCAAAACGAGACACGGTCGGCAGGGAGCCAAAGGGAATGATGGGGTCGTCGTCTTTCACGTCTGCTGCTCTGCGTTGAAGCTCCAAGCTGTGCGCTCTCAGACTTTTGCCTTTGTCTATATTTTGCTGGGAGAAATGGTTACAATTTAGCTGAAGAACTTAACTAAATTAGAATATGCTTAAACTCGTTTTCAGCATACTATTATTTAAATATTTTCAACTGTATTGGTCAAATATTTAGGAATATAATCAAACTGTTTACATGGAATAAGCCTGAACCACGAACACAACTCACTGGTCCTCTGTTAATACATATACGGCCTTTGGTTTGTCAACAGTATGGTTAGTACAAACTAGACAGAATAAACACTGATAACCTTTTGTAATGGAACAGCCACTGACAACAGCTCAAAATTGAATTGTGAGGGAGAAAACTGGACGAAATCTACTTGGAACGCGAAGCCTTTCAGCTTTAATGAACTCAAATTTACATTTTCTAATGCAATTCTTGCCCATAGAAAATGCTAAATTATGATGCTAAGGTGTTGGTTGGTTGCCACTAGGGAACGACTTCAGATTTTTTTAAGTCGACATTTATGTGATTAGTCGTTGATGACGTCATTGATGAACAAATAAGCCTGAACCTCGAGCCGAGATTCGGTTACTTTGTGCACAGCTATGGCATATGACACAGCGCTGCCCACAAGGCTATTGCTCCTACATAACAGCTTATGTTTATCAGTTCTTTTGTCTTTGGGTCTTTTTGTCTTTCCCACAGATTTCTGCTCGTTCTAAATCAGATACAGATAAAGGAGCACAGTAAAGATTACATTTATATGAATGTATTAGTGAGAGCATTGCAAGTGAATTCATTCTACCGGGCAGCGTCTCTCTACTACTAATAGTGAAGCTGTGGGTTTTAGTTACTAAGAAATATATGCTAGAACTTTTCAGTTTCTAAGCTATTTTATTGATAGAACACATTTCTGCGCTACTGAATAATTCTGTGTGCGCGCATTCTGCACGTGCTGTGTGAGCTACTGTCTGTATGTGTGTGTTACAACGCAGCAGCGCATTAGTTTAGAACGGCGATAAACTTACATAAGTTTACAATAAGCTGCTTAAAATGTGCATTCTGTTCTCCGATCAGTTTTGAGCATCCAGATTTATCCAGACATATCTTGTGGAGCGCTCTCAGAGTATGCATTTATTCGTCACTTTAACTGTTGGAAACAGTGTAAAAATGGACTTCAAAGATTTCTTTTCCTGTTGCGCCCTCTATAAGCCATTAACAGGCGACGTAAAGCTAAGCGTCATTGCAAAGCATTAAACTAGTCTGTGCAACCCCTAGTTGCCAGAAAATTGCTATGCGGTTGCTAGGGAGTTTTGTGTGGTTGCTTACAGCCGCAAGTCAAAAGAGCCCATTACTATAAGTTTTTATAATATTGTGTTCCCTAGAAATGGCTCTAGAAAGTCTATAGCAATAGAAAGGCAAAACTTACTGTTTCCATGGAGTTCATGCCCTCTTTGGACTTCATATCCTTGCTGCCGATGTAGGAACCGAAGGTGTCACATGACCAAGGGGAATATGAGGCGGTGTAGTCCTGTTCCCGGAAGTGTCCAAAACCGTGGGGGTTCTCCTCCATGTACTGTGAACAATACGGACATGGCAACTCATTACCAAACGCTACCTACTAGGGCTGCATTATTTCAAATCATTTGCGATTTTAAAAAAAGCTCCATATTTAACTAAATTTTGTGATTATATATCAATACAACTATGACATAATAGCAACAACAATAATATTTATTAACATTATTACAATTTTATTATTAAATAAAACCATATATACTATATTTCACTATAAAAAATTATAATTAAAAAAATATTACAAATTATTATAATCTTTCACTGTAAAATGATTACTGTAAAATAAGTCAAATATAATAATAATAATAATTATATCTTATTTTACATTACAATTGTAAAATTACAATACTAGTATTTATGGCTGTCTTCGATTCTGAACGTTGAACCAGTGTTTTATTTAGATTAAAAGTGCAGCCCTTCACCCATCTTCTTTATTATCATTGTTTATGTGAAATATTCTCCTGGCTTACATGGCTCTGTCCCCTCATGTCCTGAGGGTAGCTGGGGTCGTATGAGTGCGAGGAGCCGAAGTGCAGCGGGGAAGCCACCTTCCTCTCCTCCAGCTGGGCCATGATCTCCTGTCTGCGACGGTGCAGGTAGTCTAGGGAGGGCTGTGCTCGTGTGTAGGTATTCTGGGGACACATTATTCGGAAACACTTTCTTTAGGTTTGAAACAGGACCGATGCTGTTCAAATATTGTAAGCAACGGATCTTACCCTGTGGTAATTCCTGATCTGACTGGAGTGGTTATAGTTCTCAATGGCGTATCTTTCCTGAGCTGATTCTGGTGGGTACGAGCCGCCAGTGCTTTGGGGCTGTAGTGGCGGGGGGACATCCGGACTCCTTCGGACCAGTTCCTCCCGTGGGGCGTATGTTTGAGGATGGGAGTAGGCTGAGTGGCGACGGCCATCGTGGTGTGAAGGGTATCCGTAATGGGAGCTGGGGTTGGGATACTGATGCTTTGAGTAGGAGGAGCTGGAACAAGTGTCCAGATATGGTGGCATGCCTGGATCTGGAGCGGGATGACGGGCGTAGCGTGGTTGGTGGTGGTGGTGGGGATAAGGATTACCTGTTGAAATGAGAAAAATGGAAACATTTTTCATCTACTAGTGCAACAATGTGTTTGTTTAATTTTTTTTTTGTGTTTTTGTACCTGCAGAGTACTGGGGGGATTCATATTGGGCGGATGGTGGCGGCGGCGCTCTAGTTTCAGGGTAATACAGTTCAGACTGGTGTGATGAATATGTGTAAGAACCTCTAGGCACAGCAGACATGTGCTTCTGCCCGACTGAGCCTTCGCCTGCCACCCTATGGTGGGAATTCATGAGCATTCCAGATTTTGGGATGGATTCCAATCTGAAAATCAAGAGAGAAAGTGCAGTCAGTCCGCAGTCTCGCTTTTTTAAGATAATAAATATTTTCAACTCGAACCAATATGTCCATTTATGCATTTGTATGGCAAGTAGCTGTGTAACAAGTTTAATATTGTATAACAGTGTTGTTATTAACTATAACAGACTATTAAAAATCCATCATTTTAATTTGTTTATTAAAAATGAAGCTGAATTTTATGACTTCAACGTATTTTAAGTTAGTTGTCAAGGCAAATTTATAATTTTTGTTTGATTTTAAGTTTGTCATCTAATATTGTCATTTTATATTAAATATACCTATTAAATAACAAAAATTTAAATAAGAGAATGATGAAAGGAGTTTGTTTTGGCAACTAACTGAAATAAAATAAGTTATAAATAAGAACTAAATTACTAGGATTGAAATAAAAAATAAATTAAAGCTAAATAGAATTAAAAGGCAAAAAGCAGTTTAAGGCAAAATCACAAATAATATTAAAATGAGTCAATTAGAATTAATCTATACTGCAAAAAATAGTGTTGATGCTGCTACTACTACAATAATAATACATGTTAAATTTAACCAATAAATTCCACTAAACATGTCGTAAATTACACTATTTTGATCATTTATTTATAGATATTTAAAATATTGTTATTTTTCACATAGCTCTTAATACATCCAAATTCCTTTATATTTTAGGAAAGTAGTCGTTGCAAAGGGATCACCACATTTGGGGATCTGTGAAGTCAAAAAGTTTGAAACCCCTGTACTAAGTAGATGACCGTGATTTTACCAAATACAACATGTTCCTGGATCAACATCCTTGTTGATCCTGAAACAACATTCCAATCAACCAATCAGATTTGAGGGAGTTTTACAGCTAATATCAAGTTTAGGTGCTTCTACATCAGTGTTATTCACCTATCATTCCTCTCTGATTTTAGGGGTAAATTATGGGTTGGGTTTAGGAGTAGGGATAGGCTTAGGACTATGTTTTTAGACAGCAATGTTGTTCCAGGAACAATGAAAGATGTTGATCCAGGAACATGTCTTGGCAAAATCACAGAGACACCAATCAATAAATCAAACTCACGAGTCTGGAGGTGAGCCAGGGGCACTGAGGCTCCCCGAGTCCATCTTCCCCGGTTTGTGTGATGGATCATAAGACGGGTCTGAGCCTCTGGAAACCAGGTGGACCAGAGAAGATCCAGGTCCTGCTGCTAGGATGCCATTGGTGATGGAAGAGGATTTGCGTGGAAGGCCCTCCATCAGCGGCCCCTCGTCAGGTAACAGACCAGCGCCGAAGTCTAACTCGTTCAGCTGGGTCAGGGACTGACTGAGCTGTCGGCGCAATCCCAGACGTTTATTCATCTTACGGTACCTGTCGTCAGAGAAGAGAAGGTTAAGCTGCTGCTAATGCTTATTCCATAGTGTTTAACATCATTAACGTGCCGCTCACTTTTCAAGCTCTTCCTGAGAGTGAGCGAAGGTGCAACTTGCTCCACGAGGACAGCCGCCTTTTTGTTTCATGTCCCGACACATGTAGGTCTTGTATTTGCTGTGCTGAGGTGGCTGTGGGCAGGAAGTGAGATATGTTTACTCGTATTTTTGTGCAAGGTACTTGAATGTTTGCAATCTGCGATTTTGTTTCCCACCTTTCTGAATAAATTAAAGCTAAATAGAAATCTTTAGAAAAATCTTTCTAAATCTTTAACAGAAAATGCTAATAAGAAATACTATAATAGTATATAAATACTAAAATAACACTGATATATAGACAATTAGTCAATAACTGTTTCCATCCACCTATTTTTATGCAAACTTTGGGATATTGCATATTACTTTGGTATAATCTTTATACCTAATCTCCCAGTCTTACACGATTGCGTTCCCAAACATCAGGGAACACATGATAACATGACAGCGTTTATTGCATTTTGTGCTCTGAGGCGTAAGTCATTAAGAAAAAGAGCCACAGTTTCTTCCCTTACATTATTACAGATATTTTTTATTTCCCAGGAAGTCATGATTTTGTTCTCTTGAAAATATGGGATGGAAACGGTGCTTTATTCGCATATGTTTTATGCGATATTCCAATATTTTGCGCTCAAGTTAAATTCACAACTTTGGATAAAAACCAACTATTGTTGCAAAATGTAGAAAAAAATGTTGCTTCTGCTACTACTACTAAAATAATAATAATATATACAAGCCATTTCATCTTCTAAACACTGGTCGTAAATCATGAGACAATTCTGAATCATCATTTTGATGAGTGATTTAAAGGTATTAATAGGTATTAAATATTAAAATGTTGAAAAGTTAATATTTTGTTTGTGATCTGGTTACTGACCTGCTGCTGATCACCTCCCTTCTTGCTATGGTTCTGGATGAAATCCACCAGGCCGTGAACGACGGTCCGCACCGCTTCCAACCCTTTGGCTAGCTGCTCCCATGTGGGCGCAGGGGCATCTATCAGCGCAAAACAACAGGCATAATTCAGACGATTATGTTTTTATGAATGTATAATGGTTGTACTGGCAAAATGTGTGAATAGAGCAGGCCAACAGACCTGGGCTGGGGTCGATGTCTGCCAGCAGCTCCAGATGGGGTCTGAGGCGGTTGAGATTGGCTGGATCTCCGGTTCTCTGAAGGGCAATGGTGAGTTCCTGAACACTCTGAGCAAATGATGCTGGTGTCTGCAGCTGAAACACACAAAGCCACATAAACACATACTCCACATACCAACAGGCAAAATCAACATGGTTTTATGCACGATGTGACTAGGGTATTTGCTACACCCTAAATGCGCTCTCTACACAGGGAGGGGCGTTACTGGAGAATTTAAACGTGTAACACTGGGTAGTACCTACAGCACCACCTAGTGAAATCTTAAAATACTACTTTTGCGAGTACATACCTTGTCTATAATAGACTGCATGTGGGACTTGTGGGACTGGTCGCCGTACAGTAGAGAGGACCACTGGTCAGGGGCGATACGCAGTCCGCCCTCCATTGCAATCTGAACGATCTGAGAGTCGTGTTCTCTCCGAAGAGCCTCGTATGTGCGAAACTCCTCCTTCAGCTGCATCAAGGAGGAATCCTCATCACGTTTAGTGACCTGAGGTTAAAACAAACAAAATGTTATATATTTAACAAAAAATTATGAGCAGGGTTCCTACACATTTTCAAAATTCCATACTTTTCCTGACACAAATTTCCTAACCTCTTCATACAGCATTATTTTCAGCATTATCTTTGGTATATAGTACAGCAATCTGTAAATATTTTGTTTTCCCTGAAGTGAAAACATGCACTCACATGATGAGAAGAAACCTGAAACGCTTTATAACCGACACATATTTACCTCTGACACATCAGTTTGATACTGTAAATGTTAACGATCACCAGATAGCAAAGTACAGTCTGATTTAGACGATCATTTGCACCTTTAACTTTTGCTGGTTTGAGTGGTGCACACACACATTCAAATACCATACTTTTCCAAACTGCGAAAGGAACCCTGAATATGGTAAAGGAAAAATAGAGGCACCTTAAAGCAGGAGGCCCTGTAGAGGAGCTGCACCACGTGTCCTATGCTGGTTTTTGAGGCCTGGGGAAAACGTGGTTCGAGTCTCTGAACCACGAACAGAACCAGAACCTTCCGTGAGAGGGCCGAACCATCTTCCAGAGCGAGAAGAACCAGCTTCAATGCTTCCTCCTGCATGGCTTTTGGATGACAACCAATTTTTAGTTAGTACCCACATATGATTTCACCGGCCTGCTATCACGTTATGATGGTCAAATCTTACCAGGGCCGAGAAACTGGCAGCCTCTGGCTCTGACGGCGGCCCACAGGTTTGAGGAGAGCTGCTGGGGGTTCTGGTGCTGGAGGATGAGCTCAGTGACGGTACGTTCACCCAGAGAACGGGCCGCCCGCATGGCCCGGATGCGGCCCTCCTCCTCCACCAGTTGGCAGTGCACCAGAGTCACCAGTTTCCGCTGCATGGGTCTGCTGAGCACGCTCTGAGCGGCGCCACTCAGCCCTGCACCTGCACGGACCAAGACCAACAAAAACCAAGCGTTAACTGAGCCTTTTCACTCAATACTAAATGACACGAAGGATGATACACATTGGGAATTGTTAGGTATCCAAACAACTGTCAATAAATAAAAACTTTAAATAAAAACAATTAATTACAATAATTAATACATTAATTTAGCATATAAATAAATATTTAGCATAATTAAATGAAACCATTCATTGTTCCTTTTTGCGGTGCAATCGCAATCTAATTATGATATTTCTATGCATTTGATGACGTATGAATGTTTATGTTGTTAGGTATCCAAACAATTTTTAGAAATAATAAATAAATGAGTGAATAAATAACAATAAAACAAATTTAATAATAAAATAAAATTACAAAATACAATATTTTATTAAAAAAATTTTTTTACTTTTTTTTGTGGCTCAATCGCAATACACTTATATCTTGATGCATTTGATGATGTATGAATGTTTATGATGAATTACTTAAAAACTAAAAATAAGGTGAATTGTTAGGTATCCAAACTATTTGTAAAAAATAATAAATAAAAGTAGGGATGGCCCGATACCGATACTGGCATCGGGGATCGGGCCGATACTGTCCTCATATACTCGTACTCGTACTCATAAAAATTCGCCGATACCACGCACCGATACCACGTACATTTTGCAAAACGAAACTGGCCGCCGCGAGAGCTTTGTCGAGGTGAACTGAGACATAGGAAAGTATAATGTCGGCGGTTTGGGCTCATTTCAAGATAAGGGATGATGACAACAGCAAGGCAGACTGTGAGTTATGTTCAGCTAAGGTGTCGAGAGGAGGGAAAGAAAGTACATCGTTTAACACCAGCAATCTAATTAAACATCTGAAGACGCATCATAGATCTGATGGCCGAGCGCGCGCGGGCGGTAATGCACTCACTCTGTGTGTGCGGGTTACGGGAGAATAAAACGATTCGCGGGACTCCCGCAAACTAGAAATATCTATGAATAAAAAATAAAAACTAAAAGATTTTTATTCATCTCTTGCAGAAAAGCAACAAGAACAACTACAACAAAATAGAAACGATTTACAGGACAGAGTTTCTATTCATAACATGGTTACAGCGTTGAGCGATGTAGCCAATCACAGACATATGTGTTGATTTCTGGAACGCAATGGCAAATCAGAAGCATTTATGAATAGACTCCCCTCACCGCTCAAAACGGACTTTTTTGTTCAGTGCTGAATTCTGTATGCTGGCAAATCCTCTAATTATAACAAACAAAGTGTGGATATTATGAAAGATTGATTGTGCAGTCAGCTTCATTGATAATAACAGAGATGTGTGAGATCGCGATGAACTGTCAGCTTTTAGGATTTATTAAGGGAGCGCACTTTGCGCGCATTCAGTCATGCCAAACCATGCACGCAGTAGCCTGCTTGCTTTTATGTTAAATTAACAGTGGTTTGTGTGTTAATACATTTATTATTTTACTAATTTTTATTTATTTTTAGACTTGTTAAAACAAGCAGAGAAGAAAATAAAAACAGTCTTCTAACCTGTGTTCTAAAATAGTCGTCTTCTTTTCTGGGAGCCTATTACTTTTGCGGTAGAAATATCGGTATCGGTACTCGGTATCGGCAAGTACACAAATGTAAATACTCGTACTCGTATCGGTTTGAAAAAAAATGGTATCGGGCCATCCCTAAATAAAAGCATCAATAAATAACAATAAATATTACAAATATATTACAAATAGAAAATACAAAAACTGTTCCTTTTTTGCGGCGCAATCACAATCCAATTGTCTTGATGCATTTGATGACGAATTAATGTTTATGATGAATCACTTAAAAACCATAAACACTTAAAAAAAAAGGTAATAAAAAAATGAAAATATAAAATACCAAAAAAAATTGAAGCAGTTTGTTGTTTCTTTTTGAGGTGCAATCGCAATCTAATTACATTTTGATGATGTATGAGTTTGATGATAAATCTCTTAAAAACCATGATAGCATATGCTAACTTCTACTGAATAAATGAACAAACGGCAGGGACCTCTGGTGTTGCTCAGGGGTTTGAGATAGAGCGCCAGGTCTTCCACACATGTGCGGGACTCCTCATAGTGCTGGACGTCCTCTGCCGCTGTCAGTAAAGTGACGGGGGAAGGTTTGGGTACCTGCAGGAGAAAAAAACAACAACATTTGTCTGTTACCATGCTAAAGATAGTTCTCGTCTATAACGTCTTGCAAGAATTCTTCACATAACTGACCAGCATTTGATGGGACTGTGAACATTCCTCTTTTACAGAACACGTTCACACCCACAGCCTGCAACACGCTGAGCAACCATTCTCATAACAATGTGATTTATCATCAAAAACAGAGAGAGGAACGACTGTTTTGACCATAAGGTTGGGCTGTCATGGTTATGAGGTTTGGCTGATTAATGGTCATATTAATAACTGCATTTCTGAGTGCAGACTCAAGCTTTAGGACTGAAACTTTAAAATGGTACATTGATTCTTAATTATACCATTCTTTATATATTTTTTAAAGAAATTAATACTTTGTCAACAAGGACACATAAAGTTGATTAAAGGTGACAGTAAACACATTTATAAGTATTTCAGGAGTGCATTATTGTCTTGGAGCTTGATTGAAGTTTAAAAAAAAAATACTATGTTTATAATAAAAATGTTTATTAATACTTATAGATCACATATTAATGCCTTATTCTGCATGACCATGTTTCTTCATACTTAATCCTACCCAATACCTAAACTTAACTACCGTAGTAACTAATAAGCAGTAATTAGGAGTTTATTGAGGAAAAAGCCATAGTTATAGTGTGAATTGTATATTTAACTAAAATGTGACCAAAAATTCTTTTCACTATCTGACTATTATAAATATGTTTGTTTTGGCATTTGAAAATGGCAATATGTATAAGAATATATTATATATGGATATGAATAATATGATTTTAAATATTAAAATAGGAAGAAATACTTCCATCCACTTTGTAATTGCCAAGTCTGATTTCCATACTTACTGTAATTTTTTTTGGACCCAACCCAAATATTATCATTAGTAGTAATAGTGGTACAAACAAATATTTTACTACTATTTTTGTCATTTGCATGAATAAGACCTCTTTGTGTAGTTGACAGATTTTTAAACAAATATTCCACTGGGTAAGGTTACATGAATAATATAATTCTAAATACTGAAATATGAAGATATTATTTAAAAATATTTATCTTTTTGGTGATTCACACTGTACATTTTGGTACCCATCCCAACTGAATAATATATTAGTAGTAGTAGTACGGTAATCATTCTTATTTTCCAATAGTAATATTTTCTGAGCTAATTTCCTTACTTTTTTCTTTATTAATTTTAAGGCAGTCATTTTCTGTGTAGTTGACCATTTTTAAAATACTGCTCATTTCAGATTTGGACAAACGCTCTCATCTACACCTCATCAGCTTTGTGTGAAAACCTGAAACGAACCAAAATATCCGCAGTTACGCAAATGTGACAGCGTGGCATTTTTGTGTTTGCTTAAATTCCCTTATTTGAATGCAGTGAAGCAGTCGATGACTGCAGTCATCTAAAACAATCGCGACTAGACAATTATCTAATAGTTGCGACAGTCATACCTGTCATAGAGTGTGCAGAATAGAGAAGTATTTTCACAGACAACCCTGGAATGACTGGCAAATGTTGATTCAAATTCCTGGTTCTCTATTGGCTGTGTTTGTGAAGAACCCGTGTGTTTTTACTGCCTCCTATCATGCATTCTCACGCTTCGGTATGTCACATCAGGGCTGAAATGCAACCAGACCGGAACGAACGCGAGCTGATCTTTAGAAACCCGACGCCCTGAGCTCCACCTCTCCAAGCTGTACCTGACACGTTCTGCTCGTCCTCTTGATTCAGAAATGAGTGGATGCAGTAAACACTGATAAACACACTCCACGAAAACACAACTTATCAAGGTCATTTGAACAGGGAAAAAAGCACAATGTTTAAGTGACAAGGAACCACTGTAGTTTTACTTCCTCATCCTCGCTGTTCAACAGTTTCGATTGACATGGGGGGGGGGGGGGGGGTCAATAAAGTAAAGGTGTTGCGCACTGGGGCGGCACGTAGCAGTTCATTAAGGCAGTGTTTCTCAAGCCTGTTCCTGGAGGCCCACTAACAACGCATATCTTTGGTCTTCAAGTCTCTACTAAAGATCTGATCAGTTGAATCAGGTGTTTGATTAGAAAGAGTTGGAAAATGTGTAGTGTTGGTATGCCTTCAGGAACAGGGTTGGGAAACACTGCATCAAGGTGCAGTCACATGTACAATTGCGTATTTTAGCAGGTGAAATCCAGTCATTTCACTAGGAATCTCTGCAATTGGGAGTTTTGTGTGAAAGAAAATGGTTTCCCTGCCATGTTTTGCTCATGTTCAATTTGGTCATGCAAATTCAGGAATTTGCATGCGCTTTGTAGCTGTGTATTAATGTGCCGTCATATTTATTGTTACTCTGCAAATTTTTGAGGGTTAAATCCGGTGATTTTTAATAGGAATCCGAAAAGGGCAAAAAGTTTCTCAGCTCATATTCAAATTGGTTACGAGTTGCAGGGCTTGCACGGGGATTTTAGCTGTGTATTAAAGGTGCAGTAAGCGATTTCTTGTAAATGCTGTTGATATTTGAAATCACCAAAACAAATTACGCCCCTACCCAAAACGATCACACCCCTACCTTGATGTCTCCGCCCCTAAATGTTCATGTTCATCACGCAAATCCGCGAACAGAGGGCCTTGCATGGGAATTGTGTAGGATTAAGGTGCGGTCACATTTATCATTGTTCTGCAAATTTTTACAGGTGTACAAATCAACACTGAAACTATTCAGATTCAGCCACCAAGAACTTTCGCATGGATTCCTGTAAAAATGCTCTATTCTGCTGCCAGGCCATTAGATGGCGATTAAACACTATAGATTCAACATGTAATACGCATGTGCTTGACGTCATCGTTTTCAGAGAGTAGCGTTTTTGTTGTTTACACGGAGACCATTTAAAAAAAGCTGTACTTTGTAACCCATTTTCAAAAGTTTTGCGTTTTCCAAAACGCTGTTGTCGTGTAAATGAACTGCCCAAACGCGTAAAAAGTGTGGGTGTCAAAAAAACCCCGGTGTCGTGTAAAACCCCTTAGACTCACCTGGCCGCTGACGAGCTGCAACAGCGCAGTGTTGACGGGCAGCTGCTCGATGTCCGTGCTGATGGCGGTCTGGTCGAATGGGCAGGCCTTGCGGTGCAATTTGTTCAGGCACATTTTGCACACGGTGTGTCCGCAGCCCAGGCTGATGGGCTTGCGGTGGCTCTCCTCGAAGGTTTGCGTGCAGATGGGACACAACAGAAACTCGGTCCATTGCGGGGCTTGCACGGGCATTGTAGCAAAGCGCGGTCTGTGATGCACCGGTCCCCGAAATCTTCTCTTATTGCTGCATTTGTATCAATGTGCGTTTGCGTAAAGCGATACGGCAGTATGTCCTAGAGGTTCCACTGGAACCGATAAAGCTCTTCCAAAGATCACAGTTCTTAAATAGTTCCTGGCATTGTGGGGGCGTTCAACACATAGTGTGAAAAACATAACCTGCAAGACAAAAAAACAATGATTTTACTATGTAGAAAGATGTCTAGTTCATTCCAACATGCTAAATTAACCTATTGTTTTATTCAAATAAAACACCTTTCTAATACCATACATAAATTGAGCCTCGTTTGTGAAACATAAGCACAACAAACTTGTGTGAATCAATGTTACATTTCTTGTTTTGCATGAAACATTTCAATATTTATTATACGTTATTTGCAAATCATTCTTTTTTTTTAAATTCATGTCCCCTTGTAATTTTTCATCAAAAATACTTCCCCTCCCTCTTCTCTAATGATGCGTTTTCTGGCGTGAGGGCGGAACAACCTGTCACTCACATGAGATCGACCAATAGCAAACCACAACAATCCAATCAATTCCCAATGGACAAAATCAAGTCCCACCCTAGGCTACATTTTTTCTTGTTCAAGACGCCATTTCATTCGGATTTACGCCACAATAGGGAAGAAAAGACTATCGCAACTTCCGTTTCATGTCGACTTTAAAATAACTTTTGTTAAAGAAAATAAATAAATACTCTCTCACGAGTTTTTTTTAAATGTGATAATCAGCCTTTAATTAAACATTAAAATTCCAGTATATAACACTAGACGGCCCTGAGAAATGTAAGCTTATGCTGCTATTTAAACTGTCATTAACAACACAAAAACGTAACATAAAAAAACGACAAACTGAAACTAAAAAAACAAAAATGAATGAAAAGTCTAAAAGTTAGTAAAAAATAACAAAAACATAAACTAAAAGGAGTCAAAGGCAATAAAAACAAAATTCAGTTTTTCATCTTTTTACATAAATTTTCACACTGAATTGTAAAGTAATCATTTAAATGAAATGGTTTCACAAACTATTTACAAAAAAAAAAAAAATTCGGCTCACTTTATAAATAAGGCACAAAAACTTTAATGCATCACTTTTGATTTTAGGTCAAATCTCAGGAAAACTTCATGATATCCAAAACTAATAAAAATAAATACTTTTCATACTTGAAAAATAAGTTTAAAAGCTGTTTAGTTAATAATCAAGAAAGAAGCAAAGAAAAATTTGACTTGGCTACTTGGCCTTCGTTGAAAAAAGAAAAAAACAACACGAACACAAAGATTAGCCCACAATCACTAGTGCATAAAATCATATGACATGTTATTTTTGTAAAGATTGTTCTCTCTCGTCATCGTAGACAATCTTATCAGTGACTCGAGTACAGTAGGTTTATTTTGGTATCAAAGAATACCAACCAGGAAGGATCTTTCAGCTATCATCACATTTAAACTCTTTGGCTTCAGCCTGACAACGCCTCTCCAGCACGACAACATGAGCTCTATAAAACATTCAGACCCGGGAAGTCCAGAACAGCAGCAATAACCTGACTCATCATTTATTACAGCTTAGTCTGCGACCGTACCTTAGCGCTGCCCAATATAGCAATTATATAACCAAAACAACACCTCCGCAGCACAAAACCAAGGGGATTTCAAATGACTAATAATAAGTAAAACACAACTGCTTCGACCGCTCCAGAGGGAGACATCACAAGGAAGCGTTCAAGCTCAAATCAAGTTATGTGCCCCTCGCTGTGACTCATCTAGCAAATATCAAAGCTGCGTGAACATGTTTCTAGGAGCAAGAAGGCAGGAATACTGACCTATAGGGAACAGAAACATGAGCAATAACAAAGATCACAGTTTCTATCACATGCGCGGCAGTTGCACACACATGCTTCATTGACAAAGGGAAGCTGAAAATAAAACGATAGGGTAACAACAAGTAACACACCTGTTTCCTTTCTGAATGTTGGAAAAGGAGTACAAATCTCAACACTTAACTATTCAGATTCAGGACTCCACCTAATCGCAATGACACCACCAACTTTCGTAAGGATTCCTGTAGGTATTTTTAGCACAACTTATGTGCAAGTGTGCGAACTGACCCCTTAAAAAATTTGATAAGTAAACAAAACTAATAATATATAAACAATAATAATTTGTATATGATAATGTAGAATAAATAAATATATATATACATAATATAAACATGCATTGGCTTACCAAATGGGTGCATATATAGGCTATGTAACATTCAAATATGTGCTGTTATCTTCAGCAGCCACCCATGCAACTAAGGTACTTCCTCTTGTGGCAGCCATCAAAAGCACCGTTTTAGGAGGCCACACCCACTCATTTTCTTTCTGACATAAATTTATTGGTACCAGGATTTCCAAATAGCTATATTTAAGTTTGGTGTGTGATTGAGGAAATGGGAACCCCTCTCTCTCTCCCTCTATATATATATATATATATATATATATATATATATATATATATATATCACACATATACATATATATCACACACATATACATAATATATATATATATATATATATATATATATATATATATATATAGCAAGTTAGGGTGGCCACTAGGCCTATGTTAAAAAAAACTTTATATAATATATATTACACACACATACAATTCATACATAAATTATATACACACATATATAAACACCAACAAGCTAGCTTGTTAAAATGGCCATTTGGTATAATGTTAACTGTATTACCCACCATCTCCAAACAAGGAACTGATGCCGAAAATGCAGTGTAATCATGACATTGTGCCCTGTTTGTCAACTTCATGTGACTAATGTGTGAAGGTAAATGTATTTAATATGATTCATTAAGGTAATTTACATGCCTGACCCTCCCTCATGCATGTGATTCAAAAAGAAAAAAATATGTTCAGATGCCAATGCGGTCATGGAAAAAACGACCTCAGTTCAAAGCATGTTGACTTATCTCTTGCCATTTGTCTATTGGAAACCCCCTAAAGCAGGTTAAAAAGATTTTGAATTCACTTGATTATCAAGACAAGATTATCGAGCTTATTTATACAACTCCACGTGATTTAACAATAAACAAAACTACATCCATCTTACATATTGTGCTAAGAAAAAGACAATAAGCACGTGTGCACCATCACATTCCCATTAGATTTAGCAGCCAAATAAGGCGAATCAAATGGATAATTATTAAATGACACTCCAAGAAACTCGAAGTCAAACACTTATTGAGAAAATCAGATTTCTAGGCCTATGTAATATTTTGCATAACATCGTACCCCTCAGGACAGGAAAGAAAGAAACAAAGCCCTTTGACTAGAGATGGATTTAACTGGAAAATAATAGAAAACGCATGTACAACTTTAAATATATGGAACCCAACTATACCTTTAAATATATACATATATATATATTATATAACCTACTCGTTTATTTAGCCAAATGCCACGCTATAATAAAGAAACATTACTTATTGAAAAGCTAAGATTGTCAATCTGTTATGCTAGTCAGCTCGCAGGTTAATCAATTGCTATTTCTTATTAAACAAAAACACCTTACTAATACCTACCTCCCACCACGAGATGTTCCCTACATATAAACATTGCACATCAAATTTAAGCTAATAAATTTCGACATTTCGACAGTTTAAACCGAAATGAAATTTGAATATTAAACAGCTAGCCGGTGTGCTAACAAAACAAAGCTTGTAGCGTTCGGCTAAATGTCATTTGTTCAGTTAAAACGGAAGTATCGTTAAAACCCTTGGTACTTGAAATTATATTTTGTTAATTTAATAATTTTTAAAGAATACAAACTAAACACTAACCGATAGTAAAATATATTCTTAGTTTCTTACTGAATAATGTGCTCGTGAGCGTTAGCATTTATGCTACGCCGGTTGGTGCGTCTTAGGTAACATTAACGCGTACAACGCTCGATTGTAATAGTTTTAGGCGTTTCAGTCGAATTACACCTATATTTAACGATATTCACTGCAGAAATGTCGATTTTAGCGTTTTAAATGGGATTCAAGCTAAGCTGCTGCATTCTTAAGCTATAGACTCTTCGCATTGTTTTAGCCTCTATAAACGGTATATATAAAAAACAGAACCGTAAAGGACAATAAACCTACATGATATAAGCAGTACAATATATACTCACAATTTTTGGTTCAGCTCAATCTTCACAGAAGAAGGGCGAGTTTCGCCTGCTGCTGTAATGAAAGTTTCTTTGGACTGTCTGACTGAGTCTCAGAGCTCAAGTGAGAGAGAAGTCCAGGATTGCGCAACCGGAGATCATCCACAGATCAAGATCGTGTCCTGGATGGAGTTAAGAGTCTCAAAACCTGCATAGACAGCATTGGTAACGTCCAATGCTTATTGTTGCCTCAAAAAACGGCTAGGTTTTGAAACACAGCCCATAATCACTGATGAGCCTCTTTAGATTTGGTAAAGGGTGATGAGAAACTCAAGAGGTTGTGTCTGAGCTTTTTTTGTCTGAACAAATGTTTTGAAGAAAATGGTTCTTGTGCATGCAAAAGTCACCACCATGAAATGGTGTTTACTAGTACTTTGCTATGCAGTTTCTAGGATGTTCTGGATGTAGAAACCATCTTCAGTGGTATCCTTCCAGGTCCAGCACAAATCAAAAGAGCCTCCATTCTGGCCCCTAGATATTTTTATGTAAATCTATGCGGTTTTGTTGCCAGGTGTTTTTGCTAAACATTTTCCTACTAATTAGTTGACTGATGCGTTTTTCCTGATCTATCAGGATATGTGAACAAGGTTGTGATGGTCAGAGATAAAACTCACAAAATGAAGTTATATAAAATAATACGTGATTTAATTAAGAGACAGATACATGTACATAAAGTCATTTAAAAAGAACATACAGAACACAAAAGGCTAAAAAAAAAACTAGAGCAAAAGTTCTCCCTCTGAAATTATCAGACTTTAGGTAAATCAGCTGAGTCAAGTAATGCCCAAAACAAGAGAGAATATTTTAAAAGAGTTTAAAATTAGTAAAGGGAAAATGAAACAATACTGCCTTGAGTAAGTCACTTCATACATGGCACTTTACTCGGTTGATGTACATGACACTTGAGTCATCAGGTAAATGTAAAAAATAAAAATCCTTCAAGTTTTCACATAAGGCCCCTTTGGGTTACAAAAGACAATTTACAGAAATAAAACATACTTAAAATAATTTACTGAAAAGGGTCTGTACACTTTTAAAAATAAAATCATGTTATCCTATGTATTGTAAACAATGAAAGACAGATTTTTGAGGATTAAATTAAAACAGAAAGACATCCCTTGAATCCCTTTCACACACAGAAACAACTCAGTGACCATTTGGAAAATGGTGCATTTTAGAAGAGCTTGGGCAGCTGCCGTAACCTACTCAGATCCAGGAAATTTCCCACTGAGCCCTGAGGCTCGGTGACTTCCTGCGTCCTCTGGTTTTCTGTTAGCGAGGACCTACGTTGAGGCAGGACATTCTTTGCGTCATTCTCCTTCTCCAGGTTCTTCCCACCACGCATAAGCAGCTGCATTTTGGGCCGCAAGTCTCGAATTAACTGCTCTTGAGAGTCAACAGGAGTCATATAGAGATTGGTGACTGCCTTGTTTGTAATGTTTTTGAAAACCACAGCACTTCGTTCTTCGTGGTCTTGCCTAACGCTCATGTTCTTGGACGTTTCATGCTGTACGGAACACCCGAGAGCGGAGTCTACCAGAACAGCGTCCTCTTGCTCTTCCTCGCTACTGTTTTCTCCTTCAATCAGTCCGTATTTCTTCATGTACTTACAGGTAGCTAGAGACATATTGCTGGGGGACAGTATACTGAGTCCAACACTGCTCTTTTCAGCAGAAGGTCTTCTCAGGAGAATTGTGCCAGGGTCTGGATGTGGCCTAGAGGACTGACCGCCCAATGAGAGTCTTGACAGTTGCGAGTCGCTTAGGTACTTAAGTGCAATAGCGTTGGCCTCCAGGCTGAGGTCTACACTGCCGCTTGGTCCCCAAATGCTGGTCCCCACTGGTTCGGAAAGAGCTAGTCTTGAAATGACTGCATCAGGGTTTATGCAAGCGAGGGTACTGAAGAGAAAAATGTGTTAGAAACACAACTTTTAATAATGCTTTGATTAAACAATCTGTCAGACTATGTCATTACCTGGCACTCTCTACAGTTGCACGTGTCATCTTTGCTTGGGAAGAGTCCAAGTCTACGTTCACCCCGAACTGTTGGAGTTGTCTTAACGTTGCACTTAAGACACGGTCCTGATCTGGTGGACTGGATCTGTGCTTAGCTTTTTGAGTTTGGGCTATGGATGTTGTCGGTGATTTTCTTGACTGACGACCTACAGGGGACAGACTTTGTCTGTTTGAGACACTCTGTTGGTCTTGCTCTACCTTTTCAACCACAACCGTGGAGCCTTGCAGACGACTTTGCACCTGACCCTGGAGCAGGAATTAAAACCAAAGTTAGTTTGAACATCAATACTGTGTCAATTTCAAATTAAACATGTGAAAATTGCAACTAAAGCATAAAAATGGGGCCATACCAGTAGTTCTTGGTAAAATCTTGGGTCGTCCATTTCTCCATTTTGAGACAAATTTTGGCTCTGTGACTGTGAGGGATAATACATGCTAGCACTCTCTCCCAACACTGGACTGGAAAACGAATGGGCTCCAAAACCAGACGACATGCTGCATAAGACAAATAAAGTCACAATAAACATTAAACACTGTCTGGAAAACAAAACCATAACAGCCTTCTACAAACCAAGTATAATGGACTTCAAGAGGTTAACAATTGGTAAAAAAAAAAAGGGTTTCTGAAAAAACAGGGCTCATTACTCGTGTTGTGGAGATGTTGGATGTAGAGATCCTGGACTCAGCTCTTCAGAGTAGTGAAATGCATTTTCAGATCCGAGTCTGGAAGTGACCGAAGTGTTGTTTTGACCTTCAGACTTTGGCTCCATCTCGGTTTGGCAATCCAGACTTGAGGCCTTATGTGTTGGGGCCTCTTGGGGAGCGGTCCAAAACAAACTCGCCCCTAAATAACAAACAACAATAGACAAGAACTTCATGACATTGAAAGGAACTGATGATAAATGCAACAACCTTCCGTCATAGTACCTGTTCCTACAGCGACACTGACACTTGTTTGTTTAGGTGGAGATGTTGCCATCTGATTGGCTCTTTCCTGCTGAGCATGTTCGCTAGATGATACTGGAGTCGTCTTGCTCTGAGACTCAAGGAGTTTTTGAATCTGTTGAGAAAAGTCTGTTAACAACCAGCAATGACAGGTCAACGCAAAAACAATGAAACTAATTCGAACCTGGAGTTGAAGTAGCTTCAACTGACGCTCTTGATCCATGAGCATCCTGTACGCATCAGCAGGAAGCAGACCCACAGGGGTGTCCTGGACTTGGCAGCACTGGGCTTGACAGGAAGGGACTTGCTCAACAGAACCTTTGTTGGGGTTAACCGTGGGGAAACACGGACTGGGTGCTGGAGAGTAGTGAACTGGAACAGCAGGATGGCAAACAGGACTTTTAGTGGGAGATATGCGACAACCCAAAGATTGCCGAGAAGGCGAGAGGCAGTGATCCCTAGGTGGGACACTCTCAGCACCGCAATGAAAACCACAAGGATTGTGCACAACAGTGGGATACACTGGTGGCCCTTGCCAGTTGTTTTGATAGATGGGAACATGGGTGGGTTGGTTGGTGCAGCAGCTGCAAGGGTTGGTGGCTGGGGTGCTATGGAAGAGTCTGTGTTGGGACGGATGAGGGATGGGGGTCTGGCTAGGCATTACTGAACTCTTTCTGGCACTGCAGTGACCCGATGCTGGAGGTTCGGAATAAACTGATTGGGGTTTGGTCGGAACACCTTGCGAAGAACGGTGCCTTTGTTGATGAAAAGAGCCATTGGGCGAAGCAGTGTTCTTTGTCGAGGAAGAAGTTGAAGACGATGATATGGATGATGCTGACGAGCCCTCTCTTGATCTTATTGAGGGCAGGGATTTTCTATTTGCATTGGGTTGTGGTGTTTGTTGTCCTGGATAAGGATGTAGTTTGTTTTTTGGCTGAGAGAGGACAGAAGTTAGTGGTCTTCGGATTAGGGGTGGTCCAGGGACACTACTCCGTTCCGGAGGTCTCAACACTGAGGCGCCCTGGTGGGCAGGACTAATGCTTCTCCGCTGAACATTTGATTGGCTATGAGGAACAGGAGTTGAGTCTTGTGTTTTAACAAAACTCGCATCCAAAAAACTGCCATCTAATACCATAGAGAGTTCTGGAACTGAAGGATGAACACGCCTAGTCTGAAAAAAAAAGAAAAGAATATTTGAACCTGCTAATGGTAATCCATCCTGAATATAGAGGTATATTAGGGGTGCAAGGCAAGTTAACAAACCTGCTGACTGACAGGATGAGGGTTTGGAGATGGCCGAGGAGAGAGGTCTTCATCTTCTACACCTGAGTCATGATCACTGATAGACAATTTATTCTGAGGAGCAACTGAAGATGCTGCAAGAGTCATCCTGATAAGACAAAGCAGATACAGTGTGTTATTTTTATTCTTGCTTTAAAAATATTGTATTCTGTCAGATACACTAAACAGCCAAACATAAATCTAAATTAAATAGAAGTTGAAATTTTAGATAAATAAAAAGACTGTACCCTGTTAACACAGTCTGAGAGAGCACTTCTTCAAACAGCACAGTTTCCTGATTTTGGTTCTCAGCACTAAGCTCAAATTGCAGAGGCCGTCCTTCTGAAGGCTCAACATTCTGTATTGGTAAAATATGTAGTATGATTAAAAACTTTTAATAATTAAAGCAACCCTGAAAACCAATTAGTACAATACAAAAACCAAAGATCAATTGGAAAAACACAATTGCTTAAGAAATATTACAAATTTATTTCATAATCAGATTACACATTATCAGTACAGGTTGCATGAAAAGGATAAAAATGTTTCCTATAGACCATAGCATATTCAGATTCAGAATTTGTCGAGTACAAAGGCATAGACAGACTGACCTTGTAAAGTGTGAATGACTCTGTGCTGGTGAGCAGCTGAAAGCTCATTTGCTGCTGCCCGACACATGGCTTACACTGGTAGAACTCCGGATCCCGGTGAGTCAGAGAATACAGGACCACCAGGAAAGCGCCTCCCTCTGACATCACTCTGGAAAGCCATCAGATGTAGACATGAACAGGAATTTTTTGTTTTGATAATCATTTTTCACAAAAATTCTAGCAACACAATGAGGAGATCACATTTACTTTGATTAACATCAACAA